TTTTCAAATAACCTGTCCTCAAGCTCACTGATTCTTTTGCTTCATCAGTTCTGCTGTTGAGAGACTGTGATGCATTCTTTAGTATGTTAATTGAATTTTTCAGCTCCAGGATTTCTGCTTTTTAAAATTATTTCAGTATCTTTGTTATATTTGGCTGATAGGATTCTGAAATCCTTCTCTTAAATTTCATTGAACTTCTGCAAAGCAGCTGTTTTGAACTCTTTGTCTGTAAGGTCATATAGCTCTGTCACTCCAGGATTGGTCACTGGTGCCTTATTTAGTTCATTTGGTGAGGGCATGTTTTCCTGTGTGGTCTTGATCTTTGTGGATGTTCACTGATGTCTAGGCATTGAAAAGTTAGGTATTAATTGTAGTCTTTGAACAATGTACTTGTTTGTACCCATCCTTCTTGGGAAGGCTTTCCAAGTATTCAAAGAGAATTGAGTATTGTGATCTGTCTTTGGTCATGCAGTACATATCTGCATTGGGGGACACCCCAAGCCCAGTAACGCGGTGACTCTTGCAGACTTGTGGAGGTACTGCTTTGGTGGTCTTGGGTAAGATCTGGGAGAATTCCCTGGCTTACCAGGCAGACTCTTGTTCCTTCTCTTTCTTTTGCCCAAACAGTCTCTCTCTCTCCTTGCTAAGCTGTCTGGAGGTGGGGGTGGGGTTACACAAGCCCCTCTGGGGCCACCACCACTAGGACTGCACTGGGTCAGACCCAAAGCTAGCACAGCACTGGGTCCTGCCCAAGTCTTTCAGTGACCACTGCCTGGTTACTGCCAGTGTTCACTCAAGGCCCAAGGACTGTACAGTTAGTGGGTAGCAAATTCAGCCAGGCTTGTGGCCTTCCTTTCAGGGTGGGAAGCTCCTCACCAGCCCGGGGCAGGTCCAGAAATTCTATCCAGGAACCAGGGCCTGGAGTCAGGAACCTTAGAAATCTACCTGATGCTCTATTCTACTGAGACCAAGCTGGCACCCAAGCTGCAAGATAAAGCCCTTCTCTATTTATGTATTTATTTATTTATTTTTCTGGAATGTAGTCTCACTCTGTCACCCAGGCTGGAGTGCAGTGGCATGATCTCAGCTCACTGCAACCTCCGCCTCCTGGTTCAAGTGATTCATTCCCCTGCCTCAGCCTCCCGAGTAGCTGGGAGTACAGGCATGCACCACCGTACCTGGGTAATTTTTGTATTTTTAGTAGAGATGGGGTTTCACCATATTGGTCAGGCTGGTCTTGAACACCTGGCCTCAAGTGATCCACCCACCTCAGCCTCCCAAAGTGCTGGGATTACAGGTGTAAGCCGCCGCACCTGGCCCCCTTCTCATTCTTGCCTCTCCTTTGTTCAAACTGAAGGAGTCTCTCCTTGTAGGCACCACTGCCCCAGACCCATGGCAAATACTGCCTGGCTACTACTAATGTTCATTCGAGGTCCAAAGACTCTTCAGTCAGCTTGTGAATGCTGCCAGGCCTGGGTCTCTCCCTTCAGTGAAGTGGACTCCCCTCTGGCCTAGGGCAAGTCCAAAAATGCCATCCAGGAGCCAAGACCTGAAACTGGGGACTCCTGAAGCCCACTTGGTGCTCTACCTCACTATGGTTGAGCTGGTACCCAAGACAAAGTCCCCTTTACTTTTCCATTTCCTTTTCTTAAGCAGAGGAAGTCTCTGCTCATGGTCATCACAGCTGGGAATGTAGTGGGTCACACCTGAAGCCCCCATGGCACTGGGTGTCACCTAAGGCCTGCATCAAATACTACCTGGCAGCCACCAAATGTTTAATCAAGGCCCAAGGGCTATTTTTTTTTTTTTAATGGATTTTTGCTCTGTTGCCTAGGCTGGAGTGCAGTGGTGTGATCTAGGCTCACTGCAACCTCCACCTCCCGGGTTCAAGTGATTCTCATGCCTCAGCC